CCGTGCCATCGGAGCTTGCGGCTGCTAAGTGGCAGCCCGCCTCGGGGGGAGACCAGGCGACGAGGTTGACCGAGGCGGTGTGCAGGGTGAACTCGTAGATGCGCTGCCAGGAGGCGTTTTGCTCGCGGTAGATGAGGATGCGGCCGTCGTAGGAGGAGGAGGCGAGGATGGTGCCGTATTTGGGGTGGGCCCAGGAGATGCACCAGACAGCGCCTTCGTGGCTGTATAACAATAATAGTCAGTGGGGAGTTGGGGGCGTGAGTGAGAGTGGTAGCAGGGGGAGGGAGTGGTGGTACCCTTTCAGTGTTTCTGTGAGTCGGTGTTGGTCCCCATCGATCTCGAAGATCTTGATTGTTTTGTCCGAGGAGCAGGTTGCGAGGCGGCGGCCATAGTAGTCGAGGACGGCGTCGTGGATCATGTCGTCGTGGCCCGAGGAGGAGATGACTTGCGTCATGTTGGCGGTGGAGGTGTAGACAACAGTTGTGGGAATTGTTTGGGTTGGGTTGGGTATATCTATCTCGAGGCGTATCTGGCAACTTTTCTACCCGGTCAAAGAAGTCGTGGGCGATACGTCGACTTAAGCAGTGGAGGAGAAGCCGTTGCGGCGAGCGTGGCCGAGGTTCGGCAGAAGGTGTGATCAGGGCCGATGACATGTGGGAGTGATTGTCATCCTTCCTTCGTAGTAGTTGTATGTTTTCATTCTCCTGGCGTTGTCCTTTCTTTCCTCTTCTCCTATATCATCAACATGTCTGACGCACTCTGCGGGCCCTCGAACCCGCTGCAGCAGTTCAAGCAACAGACCCAGTACGATCGGACTCTCCAGCAAGACCGTCTGACTTCACGCCACACTCCTGCCCAAGGCTTCCGCTCGATAGACCCGAATGCTGGCCTTCTAGACCCCGAGTTCGAAGCCTTCCAGGCCGGCCTTCCTCCATCTGAGCTGTCCAACCTCCCTACCGTCCACCCGCAATCACAAAGTCTAGCAGGACCATCCCAACCCCCATCATGGGCAACCGACTTCCAGCGCATGCAAATATCCCCTCCACCCTCCTTCCAACCCCAGCAACAATACACCCCCCAACCCACCCAAGCTCCCAACAACTGGGCCCAAGGTTTCCGCCAGCACGTCGCTCAAACGACCCCTCGTACCCAACATGCTGCTCCCACCCCGCAAGCCTTCCAGCACATGGCCCGCTACGGCGGCATGAACGGCTACCAGTCCAACTTCGCGCAATCGAGCTATGCCCAGCAGCCCGTACAGTCAAAAGGCAAGCAAGCGGTTACGGAGCAATTCGACGATGCAGCGTTTGAGCAAGCGTTTGATCTGGCGAGGGATGCGCTTATGGCTGAGACTCAGCCGCTTCAAGACGCTGGGATGGCGGAGGAGATGGCGTATGTGAATGGAGCATCTACTGGAAACATGGACCAAGAGGGCATGCAGAATCCCGCCGCGGACCTGGCTGCGATAGCTGCGCGAGTGCGCGCTCGGCGATTCGAAGCAGAAAAGGCGGCTCCCGCTGCAGACTGGAAAATGCAAGAAGAGCTGGTGCGACAACCGGATCGCCATCTTCCACCACTGAGCGAGATCAACATACCGCGACAGGACGAGCAAATGCAAGACGACACCAAACCAGCCAACGACGACGACGCCCTCGCCCAAACAGCACAAGAACTTCTAGAAAAAGTCGAGCACAACCAGACCGACAAATTCCGCAACTCGCAGTTCCTGGGCCTGATGCGGAGGTTACGCGACAGGGAGGTGAAGGTCGAAGGTGACAAGATGGTTGAAACTGTGCGTTCGCCCCTCAAGCACCCTTTGCCTGCCACCGCGGCGCCAGATAGCGCGTACGGTTCTGGCGCTGCTACCCCTGAACCCGATGCAGCCATCCGTCGCGCTGCTCATGTTCCTCCGAGAACTCCTCCGCCCGAATTCGACACCCATGTCGAGTACGGGTGGAGCGAGGAGCACCAGTTCGATCATTGGGAATCTCCTCTCCCGATTGGCAGACGCTGAAAACAAGCCCCCACGCTGACCAAACTGTGCTGGGCAGGCCGGAACCGACACCTCCACGACCACCGACGCTCAGCAGCTCAATCAGTTCAATAATACCGAGCAAACGCCCCAATACCGTGGTCCCATCCGGATCAATGCCGCGCCTTACGACTACACCGATCAAACTCACCGAACTATCCCGCCCCACGAACAAGACCACGATGCCCACCGCTACATCGATCCGAGGGATGGGCAGGAAGTTGTTGATTTGCTTAATCGACCGCAGCAGGTTTTTGAGGAGGTGGAGGCGGAGGTCGACGAGTTGGACGAGTCGGACGAGAGGGGTTATGAAGGAGGCGGAAATGGAGGGCCAGCCCACGATATAGGTACGTCCGACACCACATCCTTTGCCCCTGCGAAGCGTGCCCTTTCGGAGCAAGCCCCTGGTTTTCCCGAGGGCATTTTCTACGGCGATTTGCGGCAGCGCGGATGGTCTGAGATGAATTCTCAGACAGCGGAGGGCTTTGGTGCGTTGCCGCGGGACCCGACTAGGTGGGAACGATGGGATTCGCCTAGCTCTGCGCGGTTGGGAGGCGGCGGGATGCACTGAGCGCCTAGGCGCCAATGAAAAGACGTTCTTGTGGAAGTGCCTATGCTGAGACGCATTTGTGTGCTTGGCAGATGAGTACGACCCAGAGCCAGCAGAGACGACGAGTCCGTTCGCGTTCACGAATGTTCGGCCCTGGACGACGAAGGCTCCGGGTGTGGGGTCTACTTGATTGTGCGAGTGCGGAAGCTACTGCTTGGATAGAAGGGATTGGATGTGTGGAAGAGTGGGCTGACGTGTCGGGTGTACCGCAGATTCAGAGTTCATGATGACGTCCCCGTACTGGAGACAGGCGTGACTGGAATGGCGGAGGAGGGGCGGACATGGGGAATGGGAGGCTTTCGCCTACACATGAGCAACACGTCCGTGGTACGCTGTGTCTGTCTAGTACGTATGCGGCAGCTTCTCATGCTGCCGGGGCATGGAGGGATCGAGGAAGCCGCGGAAGTACTGTAGATATTGTTAGAGGCTGCTGCACTTCAATGTGAATGGAATGTCAACGAGGAGGGAAGGCTTACTTTCCGCCGAAACGAGTTCAAGTCATCTGCCGTGCCAACACCATTCTCGCCTTGCAGTATTAATCTTGCGGCTTGATACGCTAGCATCTCGTTCTCGTCGATGCACGAGTTGGCCAGGCGGCGGTATGTTAGTAGGCGTCGCGACCACTTGTTGAAGTGCTGCGTGCATTCGCTTACGAGCTCGAGGGCTGGGTGGTGGGGGATGGCATACTCCTCCTCCTTGCCAGCACCACCTTCCTGCCCGCCCTCCCCACCTCCACCTCTCCGCTCCTTACCGCCAACGCCCTTCGGCTCCTCCTCCGCAGTCGCCCCCGCTACAGGCATCCACATACACAACCTCCCCCCCTCCACCAACGCCCCCGTCCCAAACTCCAGCACATCCCCCAGCATCCTTAAAAAACTATACGCCTTCTTCGGCGGCAAATACGTCTCTGCCAGGTGCGCGAGCCGCCCATCTTCCAAGAACACTTCCGCCTGCAATTCCGGTTTGTGGCTTCCCAGTACCTTCAACCCTTCCCGGACACCGTAGGGAGGGTCACAGACGATAGCGTCCAGGCACCGAGAGGAGCGGAGGGGCGTGTTGGTGAGGTCGGCCACGAAACCGCCGAGATAGAGGGGGGAAGTGGCGTATTGCGTGAAGTTACTCCGCACATCTCGCCCGCCTTTACCGCGCACGCTCCGCCCATCTAAATCACTCCCGAACACCCCGGCCCCGAAATGCGCGCACGCGAGCGGGAAGGATCCGGTGCCCATGAAAGGGTCATAGGCCAATTTCCCCGGCGCAGCGAGAGCCAAATTCGCGGTAACGAGCGCGAGCTCCGAGTCCATGGACGTCGTAGCAATATACCTCCGTTTCTTGAGCGTGTACTTATTCAGCGTGGCTTTGCGGTTACCGGACGCGACCAGCCGGCCTAAGTGGAGTTGGTGGGGCAGGGGAGCGTCGAGGAGAAAGTCCTCGAAGACGACGAATTGGGCAGAAGGGTTTTTCATCCGGATTGGGCCCGAGAAGGCCATGTAGGCGAAGGATTCGATGATGGCGGTGTGTTGCGAGGAGGTGTGGGAACCTTGGAAGGAGTCGATTTCGAAGCGGAAGGAGTGTTGGGAGTGGAGGGGCCAGTAGGGGGCGCTGCGCTGGCGGACATCTTGGTGGAGGGAGGGGTAGTCCAGGCCGGTGCCCCAGAGTTCGTAGATTGCTGAGGCGAGAATGGAGCGGGTTATGAGAGTCCGGGCTGCTGTGGCGGGGTCTGTTGTTGATGGGAAGCGGACGATGGCGAAGGGGGACTGCGGTATTGTTAGTCGTAGTTCTGATTCATAGACAGGGAAGAGGCGAAGGACAAGGGCGGGAATGCTCACCTCTGATCAAGCTATGCCACATCTTGTAGCAAGAGGGTTCCATTGCCCTCACCCTTCGCCTCCTTACTTACATACATCATGAGAATAGAAGACCCATTCCAATGGGATGCCGGCCAGGGTGGCAAGAGCTTCTGTCTCAGGTTGCCGGAAGGACTCATGTATTTGCATGAAGCGGATCATGTAGTCCATCGTGATTCTTGCTATGAGTACTTTTCATGGCCAGGAAGTCCCGTTCAGAAGTCCAGGAAAGCCGGTTTAGCAGGATAGAAAGAGCCGATGCGTTGTATGAATTCCCTAATCGATTCTTTCAAGTCGTAATTCCGGTCGCTGAGGCACAGAGTGCTTTCTTTCCTGAGCCGGTGGATCGGTGTAAATTGAATCAGAGCACACGATGAAGCTGTGGTGCGAGTTGACGATTCGTAGTCTCTGATTCTTCGGCTGAACTTCGGCGCACAAAATGAGCGTACATAATTAGGCTAGGAAAATCATGCTTAAAGTTCGGATGATACAATCTTCCAATGAACAACCTGGCGTTGTAGCAAAGTGGTTAATGCGATTGACTAGAATTGCTTGGTTCGTCCAGCAACTGTCCATCAATTCCCTTCGGGGGCGTAGGTTCGAGTCCTGCCAACGTCGTTCGACGTGAGCGTAACCACGCTCATTAGTTTTTTTCCTTCGTTCGGAGGCTAGATCATTCGAGTCCAAGCCCTGGGTAAATTTTTAGACGTCGCTGTGCCGATTGGCGCCAGCATAGCTACAATGTAAAGGATAGTGCCAGGATATGCTGTAATTTTAGTTGTTCATGGATATGAATATGACCAAGAGAGAGACATGGTTGTCTACTCGACCCGAAGATGCTATCCGCTAACCTGACCGCCCACTACCTTAATTTAAGGCCAATGAGCTGAGCCTTATGACTCCTGGCACCCAAGCTACCACCTCCTCGCCTTCATAGCAAACGGCTCACCATCAAAGTCACCCCTATTCCACCTCCCAACATCCCGTCCACACATTTCCCACAGCTTTGCTTCCAACTCCGCCTTCCGCTGTGCTTCATCACGCTTCTTCTCAGATGAAGACGGCGACCGTGCCTTGAATATTCCACCGTCATCGTGCTTCGGCGTACTGAGTGCTCCAAAGAGCGGCATCCTAGGCGCACCCGGAGTGAAGAGATTATGCTTCAGCTTGCGTGGTGAAGGCGATCGGCTCGGCTCCATGAATGAAGAATCGACGAAAGGTGAATTTTCGGCCAACGGCTTCAGCTGGAGGTTCACTGGAGGCGTCAGGTTGCGGTCTCGCGCGGTGGCGGTCCGGCTGCTTTCTGCTCGATTTGAGTTGTCTGCGCTGTTTGACTGTTGTGGACGACGCTTGACTGGGCTTTTCCGTGGGCTGGGAGGATATTCTGCTTCGCCGCCGTCGTCGCTGATATCCGGTGATGTGTCGTCCAGTGTAAGTTCGCCCAGAGGAACTGGCGCTCCTTGTGGCCTTCTGGGGGTAGCGACTCTGGGAGTGGAAGCTTTGACCGGTGATCTCGCCTCGTCGTTCTCCTGATCTTCATCCATCATGCTGCTGTCGTCGTCCTCGTGGATTCTGGTCGTTTCTGGAAGCGGTCGTGAAGAGCTTCCAAAGACATCGTCGGTGCGGGGCTGGGCTACGAAAGGATTACTTGGAGGTGGTAGACGACGCCTTCGTACTACACCGCCAGTCGGAGAGCCATCGGACCTTCGTGGACCGGCCGTGCATCTCGTTGGTGCCCTTCTAGTCCTTGCTGGTGCCTCTGGCTGTTTTGCCGACTTCTTGCGATCGACATCGTCACTCCGTACCTCAACCCTCTTGTCCTGTCCTCTGCTCTGCGCTTCCTGTACATCATTGACCAGGTTTTGAGGTATCGCAGCTTGTATACTGGTCATCAGCTCCGCCCTCAGCGCAAATGCTCGGTAGTTCTCCTGTATCAAACCCCCAGCCTCCGCATTCAGCGCACTGTCCGGGTTCGGCTGGATAAGTAGACAGCTGATCGTCACCAGAACATCCCGTAATGTGAGCTTGCTGTCCCAGTCGCGCTTCAGCGTCTCTACACATACACCACCCGTCTGAGGATCCACATTCGGGTGAAAGATTGCGGTTCGGAAGTTTGCCGTTGGTGGCTGTTGCGGATATGTGGTGGGGATGGTCAGATGAAGCTTCCATACTCCTGCTGTGAATGGTGTATGTGTAGGTCCGGCGAGAAGGATGTCGAGTTGTGTTAGGTCGTCGTTGTTCGAGTCGTTTGGGGAAAACAGGTAGTTCGGTGGTAGAGGTTGGTTGTGTAGTGCGCCATGGTCCGCTGCAAGGCGGCGTAATGCTCGTGAGTTCTAAAACTGGTCAGTCTACTCTTGTTCGTCTTGAATACGCTGTGCTCATACCATCTCATCCAATGTTGATGCTGTATCCTACGTGGTGTATGGCTGTTTTGCTGTATTATACCCGTGATGCTGGACATGGCACAATACTTGAAGGAGTATGCGTGTTGTTCCGATGTTTCAGCAAGGTACAGATCCAATATATGTAGCGACGCAGAACTATGCCAGTGTTGTCATTTGAGTTCGTAGGTGGGATCTGCTTGTTCGAGGTTGACGCGACCACGCGATTCAGCCACATAGTCTACGCCACACCACACCAGAAGGACAACATCCTCACCTGTGCATCGAGTAACGGGCTTGCGATTGAAGACCGCGAGCCTTGCTGTGAAGCGAGAACTAGTGGATTATAGCGTACGTTACGGACACCTGTTGGCCGGCGGGTGACATCCTGACAGCTATGTTCAAACAACCCATAAAGCTACTTGCTCCATACCGCATCACGCACTACCAGTGGGTATCAAGCTCACTCCCTTGACACTCTTCCACTCCATCATCAAGCTCGACATAGCTGCCAGTCCGCCCACTGCGATCGGGAGGATGAAGGCTGTGGTGACAGCTGTGTTGTACGCTACGAGCACGCCAGAAAGCTGCTGCTGCGTCACCACGTCCCGAATATGCGTCGCTCCTGCTGCGATAAGGGCACTCGCATCGACGCTTGGTGCCTGTCTCGGAAGCTGCTGTATCAATGTGTTCGAAAATATGTTCTGCGCGATCGAGATGCTGATGGAGCCGCCCAAGGTGTTGAAGAAGATCGCTACCGCATTTCCAATCGGCATGTCCTTCTCTGGCAGAACGACCTGTACAGCGATGAACGGGATCTGAACGCAAGCTCCCGCCCCTACACCAGCCAGAATTTCGTATCCGATCCACTTCCCGACACTGGAGTCAACGTCTAGGGTGTACAGCATGCCAGAACCGATGGTAAAGATGACGACTCCTGCCCACATCGGTGGATTATATGGGCCCAAGTAGGTTATGGCACCGCCAACAACGATTGACGAGATGGTGATTGAGACCAGATATGGTATACACCGGATGCCGGAGCCTTCGGCGCTTGTTCCTTTCACGGCCTGGAAGTAGAACGGCAGATAGTAGATATGGCTGTCCTAATATCAGCTCCCTCATTCGAGAACGACTGATATAATAGGTGAACTTACGTATACAGTGCCATGGCCAGGAACGCCGAGAACAGAGCACAAGCGCCAACAGAACGCTGCTTAAGTAGAATCCTTGGAGGCATGGTGGCACGATCGCCAAGCCAGTACTGTATTCCGCAGAATATCACAATGAGTAGACCGAATCCAAGGAGGCTGCCCCAAACTGGACTACTATTCCAGGGATGAACCTACGAGAATGAATGGGCAGATTAGTCGATGTCTCAGACAGGAACCACGCGGTATCTTAGCGGGGGGTGTTATGATCATTGAACTTACCGAGCCACCCCACTGCAGTGCGAGGAGCAAGCATGAAATGGCGCCAATCAGGATGAAAGCTCCAAGAACGTCGATTTGTTTGAGCTTCTCCTTGGTTGTCATGTCGGTGTATCGTCTAGGTGGATTGCTGAAGAAGAAGAACACGGTTCCGAGAGCAACAGCGCCGAAGGGTAGGTTGATCCAGAAGCACTGAACAAGTACTTGTCAGCGAACGATCTGAGGCGAAGTCCGGCACAATTACATGCTCACCCATCGCCATGAAACGTTGTCAGTGAACGCGCCGCCTAGTATCGGACCAACGACACTGGCAACACCGAACATCGAACTAAGTGCCGCGATGTACATGGCACGTTTGCGTAACGGCACGCTGTAGCCGACGATGGTCATACCACCGCTGAAGAGAGCCGCAGCACCTGCACCAGCGACCGCTCGTCCGACAATAAGCATGTTTGAAGAGGTCGCCGAGGCACATATGATTGAGCCGACTGAGGGGATGTTAGTATTTGAACAATCTCACAGAGTGTATCAGAGTATACCTTCAAAGATGACCAACGCACTGAGATAAACCCACTTCACATCGAAGTATGCGTACACCTTGCCAAAAGAAGGCTGCAGCGACGTCGTTGTGAGCAAGTACGACGATCCATACCAGCCAACGTCGTTCAATGCGTTGAAGTCCGACGTGATTCGCGGTATAGCAGTGGCGATGATGGTCTTTTGTACGTGGTGGCAATCTGTCAGCAAATGTCTCATGTCTCGAGAGGAACGCCGCTCGTCGAACAACCTACATTGTCTAAAGCTATAACGAAGGTGGCCATTGCCAGACCGAATGTCAGGAGGGCCAGCTTCGTCCCGGTCGGATATTTGGAGTCGTCCGTAACCTCTTCGGTGGTGACTGTGGCAGCTCTTTTTGTCAACTCCTTGTCCGCCTGCTTGTCGTCCTTGGATCCAGTCTCGTCTGGACTTTGGGGTCTGTCCACCGGCGGGGGCGGTACAGCATCGCTCTGTTCATGACGGGTTGGGGGTGCATCGACTGGTGCATCGGTGCCTTTCTCATCCACTCTGTCCCTCTGAGATGTCGAAGTCAAATCGTGGAGTTGGATCGGAGCCGTTGGCTGAGGTGGATCATGGTGGTCTTGGCCCGAGCCAGTGGCGTTTCCTTTTTCGAAGGCCGTGCCCTGCTCCATCTCACTTCACCTCAAACTTTGTGCTTTCCTCCTCCCTCCGAGACGTTCTATCAAACGGTCAAGATGCTTATCAAGGTCATAAAACCGACTGGGGCAGACGTGCTTGAAGTCGTCGCTTATGTTGCTCTTCAGTTTAGCGACCGGAAGTGGTCTCTTCCGTGATCTTCTGATGAGGGATCGTCGTCACGAGCTCGGCTAGACAAATCTCGCTTCGACGACCTCGACCAGCGACTTTGCAGCGGTACTTTGACATGGCCTAGAATTACGTACTAAATAGGTAGGCATTGTCTGTGGACAGAATGATGGGACAAGTCCGAGGTAGGTCTGCTATACGCTAAACATTCAAACGAACAGAGCATGAACTTCCAAGCATGCCTCGTCAAGAAAAACGCTCACTGCGTACCCTCTACCGTAAGACGCTCCCCCTGCTGCAACACCATCTCACTCTACAACTTCACACAACCGAAATGAGCTTGCAAGCACCGTTCTGGTCGACTCCGCACCGGTGCTACCTCCCATGAATACCCTTGATGGCTGGCCTCCCATAGCGTGGCATACATGGCTCGGCATCAGCGCCGCACCCAACACACTCCGTCTCCATCTTCACGACCGTCCAG